TCCCAACAGTCTTACTCCTATTTTGAAGAGTCTGACTTTCGGAATGAAAAATGGAAATAAATTAAAACAAAATTGCATCTAAAGCTAAAAAAAGGAAATAAAAGTCAGAATTGGAATTGGAATTGAAACTGGGAGAACTTGTAACTGGGGAGATTAAACCGAACCTTTTAACCCGGTGTATGTCCCAAGAATATCAGACAGTTTATTTGACTTTATACATCTACTTGTCATATGGCATGTATTTTGAGTTTGATAAAGAATTGAGTTCAGACCAATGACAAAAATTATGTTTGACATTACAGGACTTGAGAGAGAAAAAAAAAAGGATTCAATTTTGGGAGAAAAGACAGAAACCACTCACACCCTTTTCTCTTCTCATAAACAGTTTTCTTTTGGTTCTTCCTCAAGTATGGGTGATGCACTTATGAGAAATCATTAAGGACATAGTCCGGTGGCATGGCCTGGCCACCTAATTTGCTGATTAGATTGCCTGTAGGATAATGGAAGGAAGCTCACCAATTTAATTCTTCTGCTGCCCAATCCACCAATTTCCAATGGAATCCTTGCATGAATGCACCAACTTTGCCTTCACTTGACACTGTCTCCCAAGTGCTCTAATGCTTGTAAAGAGCCACTTGGAATAACATTTGTGGAAATTTTTAATCGATCGATCCGTGATTCACAAGTTTGAATAAAATAAGGCATAATTATTTTGATTATGGAATAGCAGCTAATTCAACAAATAACACTTTTAATGAAAGAGAGTTGTTTTGCTACGACATTAAGATTAAACAAGCAAATGAAACTTGCGCGTGTATTTGCACGATGTGAGTGAGAGAGGCAGAGAGAGTGGTAAGCAAAAGATGGCATAAAGAGCATACTTTATATATTCTTTGCGCCTTCGAGTTAGTAGATACGCCCAAACTTGTGAATGTTCAAAAGTTAAGCACGATTATGTACATGAATATTTGTTTGTGAATCGTTACAACTCCAAAACTTTGAAAGCAACATGATCTATGATTTCTCTCGAAGTTTAAAATTTTGAAAAATACACTGTATAAAGTTTGAAATTATGATGTGTAATGGGACATGTCACTTCAAACATTTTTGTGATTGAAGTAAGTAACGCGGAGTTTTAATTAAGGAAAATACTATATAGACCTAAAAATCTAACATAATTTGTTAACCTAATGACGTGATTTCATTGAAATCATTGGATTAATACTAAGTTTCAATGTTTGATGGAGTCCACAGTCAATCCAAAGGTTATAGTGAATTAGGTTATCAAATTAGGTCTCAATAGCATTACTCTTTAATTAATAAATATTGCTAGAGTTCATCTCATATCAATATAATAATGTTTTCCAAACTAAAATACAAGTTTTACGAGTCTCTCTATCTACAGCCACATACTTTTGAATTGTAAGTTTTAACAAATATATCTTTCAAATTAACGAGGTCCTATAGACATTTTCTAGAGAAGTGTCCACTCTTCATACCACCAACTTATCAGAATCGCCACACAACCTGCATGCATCATATAGCATTAAAACCCTAACACCATTTGGTGGTCAATAATTTCAATCCCACTTCCTAACAAAACATGGCAAAGAAAGAAACAGCTACCCTTAGAGAGAGCCACAAAATACTCTTCTATATTTTATTGGATTCTATAATGAATAGAAGAATTATTGTCGATTCACCAATGTGATATACTTTTGTTAACGGATAAGGGAATCTAAAGAAGACCGACAGTGCTGTTTCTCTTTAGGTTTGCTTTCTTTGTGTATAAAAGGGCATTACTCATTTCAGTTTACTCAACCAGGGGCGAGAGAGAGAGAGAGAGAGAGAGAGAGAGAGAGAGATGGGAGACCAGAAGCTATGTGGGGCATTTGGCCTAGTACTCACCAGATTGAAACCTTACTTGGCTATGGTCTCCCTCCAATTTGGGTATGCAGGGATGTATATAATCGCCATGGTTTCTTTGAATCGTGGCATGTCTCCTTGGGTACTGGTAGTGTACCGCCATGCAGTTGCCACACTAGCCATGGCTCCATTTGCACTTCTTCTTGAAAGGTCAGTCTATTTTGTCTTCTCTCTCTCTCTCTCGTATTCATATTTTGAGGTATATATATTGAAGCAGACAATTGTTTGTCTCTTGTTTTGCAGGAAGATCAGGCCAAAGATGACAATCTCAATCTTCCTGAAAATAATGCTGCTCGGCTTACTAGAGTAATGCTCTTATACCCTCAAGAATTTATTTTATTTTTTTGTATACAAACTACGAAGTACAACGGCAACCCGACCATCCTCTTTTTTGAAACGAAAACCAACTGGGAAATTCATTTCTTCTTACAAAAATTTTTATGTTATATTTGTCAATTATAAGAACATAATATATCAGTATGGGATGTGTTATATATTACATTGATGTGAGTCAAGCTTTAACAGTTAACACCTTCTCGTAGCTGTGACTTTTATTCGTATATAAAGATACAGATAAAAAATCTAAAACAGCAGTGGCAATATAACAATGTGAATAAAGGAGGAATTGGAAGAACTTAACCAAAATTTTCTGAAATTTACTATGATATTATGTTAGAACATCCGATTCAAAACCAGCTTTCCATTTACCTTCGGGAGAAAAAAAACTCTAATAAAGACCTGAAAACTTTCCAACACCCATTACACAACTTACACATTTATGAATTTTCTTAATCATTAGGACAAACATGTCCACATGTTTAAGAATCATGGCACAAAAGAGTGCATGAAAGCAAATATGAAGAATAAATATGTCCATTTGTTTAAGATTCATAGTACTACGGATTGTGAACCATACTAAAAGATAATAGTGTGTATTTTTAAAAAACATGGTGATGAATCCTGGCTTGCTTTACACTATAAGGTAGCATGCTTGTGTTTCATGTTTTTTATTGTTAAGTGGGGCAAGTGTATATGCTTTATCAGTCCCCTATATGGTTTTCTGCTCAATATTTTTATACGTCACAGACAATAATGGCATGAATAAAGGAGGAACTGATTGAATTGGAATAAAAAGAGTTTTCCAAAACCTACTGAAATCAAACTTTAAGATAATGTTAGGACATTAAACTCGAAACTAATTGACAATTAGTAAAATGCTGACAAAGTTTATATATTATATCGATATGAGACAAGCTCTAATAAAGACATAAACTTTCCGAACACCCATTATACAACTTATACATTTACATGAGTTTTTTAAATCGTTAGAACAAATATGTCCATTTGCACAAGATTCATGGAACAAAAGATAGTGCATCAGAAAGCAAATATAAAGAACAAATATGTCCATTTGCTGAATTCTCATAGCACAAACTAGTGTGCCTGAAAGCAAACATGAGGAATCATCTACTAAAAGATATTCCTCATATCTGCTTTACACAGTGAGAACAGTTTCCATGGCGAAACTTCAGCATTGGCAATAACCCCATGTGCATGGTTTATTGAAAGGTGAAACCTACCTGGGCCATTAAATTGGTTGGGTTGAGAATAGAATTAGAATTACTAAAGTGCACTTAGCATCAAAATCAAACACTTTATTCAACGAACGACAATATTATCAAAAATAACATCCGATTTTAATCACATCGAGGAGCCTACATATTTTTTTTATTTTTATCCAATCATCTATGTAATAAAGTACAATATAATTCAAATCTCAAAAGATAAACAAAATGATTTTTTTGTGACTTGTTGAAAAACCAGAGAACCACTAGATACTAATGAGTATTGTATTTGTGTATTTGATGATTGGATTGCCAGGCCCGTAATCGATCAAAACTTATACTACGTGGGAATGAAGTACACATCAGCAACATTTGCATCTGCCACAGTCAATGTCCTCCCTGCCATTACATTTATAATAGCAGTTATTTTGAGGTACAATCACAATCACAATCACGACATAGTAGGGTTTAGTGAGAATCACTAATATAACCCCACTTGTTTTAGATAAGAAAATTTTTCTGTAGCTCTTATAAAGTGTAAGAGTGTGTGTGTGTGTGTGTATTGGCCACAAATTGTGGTTATTGAGGTCACTGCATTATGTGGCAGGCCTTTCACCAGATGACTTGCTTTGTTGCTATGAAATAAATTTAGTTTTGATGGTTAAAAATTATATGGAAATCAATAGATAGGCAGGGCTGGAGTTTTAAGGAAATAATAATTTAATTCTAATCAATTTACTTATATATTTATTTGGCACAATCACAATCACGAAATAGTAGGACTCAATGAGATCCACTAATATAATGGTCCACATAGAAACAGGCTTGACTAGCTACAAGGGAACCATTTTTCTTGCCGGAAAGGAAAACATATATTTCATTAAAAAAATGCTACATAATTCAAATAAAATCTAAAAAGTACAACATAAATGCATATTATCACTTGAGTGTTAGAAGAATGGATCATACTGAAAAAATTGATGGAATCCATTTTTTGACGAGATGATATGCATTTGAGTTGTATAGTATTTACCCATTTCATATATGTATCTATAGGTTTCAAGGATCAATTTTTCGTTTGTGTTTCCACGGAATGGATCGAAGCATTTTGGTTTCTATAGAATTGGTATTTCAATATCGAAAGTCATATGATTCAAGGTGTTTTAATAAAATTCCGATGTTTTGAGGCATGTCAAGGTATTTTCGATATGTTTTGACTAATGTTTCAAAAAAATTCAGAAACAAATTTCAAAATTTTCTCCATTTTCCAAATTATTCCGGAGATATTTCACAAACGTTTCCAGTTTTTAGCCAAGCATCAAAGCCCATTTACTTGATTGGGGCTAGCTACCCCTTTAATAGTATATTAAAAAGAAACTATATAAGCATCTAATTAAACAAAGTTTCGATTCTTGGTGGGGGAGGGTGTGATGCTTGGCATTTTTCATTACATATCTGCTATATATATATTTATGTCCATTCGATGTGATTAGGTTGGAGAGAGTTAAAATGAAGCAGATACACAATGTAGCAAAGGTGGTCGGAACAGTCATTACAGTCACCGGAGCAATGGTGATGACTTTGTACAAAGGTCCAATTGTTGATATGTTATTCTCAGAAGGGGGAGGAGGAGGAAGCCACCATAAACACAGCAGTAGCTCTTCTGGTCAGCACTGGACCACCGGGACAATAATGCTCCTTTCCTGTGTTTGTGGTTGGTCTTGTTTCTTCATACTGCAAGTGAGTTCTCAACTGCCTATGCACATACGTCTCTTTCAAACATTTTTCACCTTTACTTTAACTCCAACAACGAAAAAGAAAAAACGATGGGAATTTGTTTGCATGTTATTGCGAAATCCTGGTAGGGTTAAACGTACTGTTGTTTCTTGTATGACGGCGGATTATATGACTCGAATTCTTAACATATTTAAAACTTTTCAGTGCTTTATTTTTAAATGAAAAAAATTTTTTGGACTTAATTTGGGCTATGCATATCATTACTTTAACTCGAACAACTAAAAAGAGAAAAAAGATGAAAATTTGTTTGCATCGGAATTCGGGTACAGTTATATATACACTTGATCAAATTCTAAATATGTTTAAAACTTTTTTAGAGTTTTATTTTTAAGTGAAAAATATTATTTGAACTTAATTTGGTGATTATTAAATTAAAGTGGACTCAATTTAACATTGAAATTTATAACTAATCTAATGACAGTATTAAATTAGTTCTCCAAATTAGATCTTTTCAATTGGTCTAAAAAAAGAAATTAAATTATACTTTTACCTCTCAACTTATATCTTCTGTCTCACATTGTTCTCTTGACTATTATGTTTCTCACATTATACCTCAAAGTATACTCACTGCTTTCACTTTGCCCCTTAAGCTATCATATTTACGATTATTGACTTGAAATTGCCCTAACTGTAGACATTAAAGATGCATATTTTACTATGTAGTTCCACACCTAACACTCAAAACATGGCCGTTTTGGGGAAATGTGAAACTTAGTCAAATAATTAAGTGGGCAATGTCAGAAATTCAATAGTCGAGGGGCAAATTGAGCTCAAGGCCATAGCTGAAGTGTAATTCACCCAAAAAAATAAACACAAAAGATTAGACTTGTTAAACTTTCAATTTGCCTTAACCTGCATCATCTATAACTATTTAAGGATTCCTTTTAGGAAATTAAAATTTACCCTTGTTTTAGTTTTACAATAAACAAAGTTGATTAGCTGTAAATCTATCACTGAAACATGATTGAATTTGAATAATGTGGGTGTAATTTTGGCTAGTCAATTACCTTGAAGGAGTACCCAGCAGAGCTCTCTCTCACTGCTTTGATATGCTTGTTTGGCATGGTTGAAGGTGGAGCAGTGGCACTTGTCATGGAAAGAGACATGAGTGCTTGGGTAGTTGGTTTCGACTTCAGGCTTCTTGCTGCAGTCTATTCTGTAAGTAACATTTCATATGACAAAACTACTATTGGTATTTAATTTATTGAGTTAATCCATCACAATCATTGAATTGAAATTAAGTCTCAACTAATATTGGGATTTATTGTTAATTTAACAACAACGATTGATTAGATCAACAAAACAAATCATAAATTGATTTTCACTAGCATTCATTTTCATATAATTATCATAGATATTTAGCACGTAAAAGGTACAATTATTCCTTGATGTCAATTTCTAGCCAAAAAAGTTTAGAATAGATTTGGATCGCCCCGAATACACTCCCTAAATACTCTCTATCTCACCCACGCGTATTGCTGAAAGACCCAATTATATATAGTGGGATCCATTTGAATATATAATGAGTAATCTCTTATCGGACAATAATGTATTGGAAAGGATTTGAATCCACTTGACCATACAGTTATTTGTCCACCATTTCCTTGGTGATGAAACTTAGGAGAACAGAGTCTTACCACCCCCCCCCCCCCCCCCCCGGGAGCAAAGAGATTGCTTATGTAACTCGAGATCCAAACCTAATTATAATGAAAGAGCATTACTGCCGTGTAAATACTCGTTCTCGTTGATGAGCCCAAAAGTTGAAGGACAAAATGATATTATATTTTCCTGATAATATATGTATATAATTTTGAAGAAAAAGTGGTCTGGACTCGATTGTCCATGTGTCTAACTTGATGAACATGTTTTTTTCCTGTGTTTAGGGGATAGTTTGCTCTGGAATTGCATACTATTTACAAAGTATGGTGAACAAGGCTCGAGGTCCAGTGTTTGTAACTGCATTCAGCCCTCTCAGCATGATCATCACGGCCATTCTAGGGGCCTTATTTTTGTCCGAGCAAGTTCACCTCGGAAGGTATTATTGTACTTTCACTTCCTCTCTCTCTCTCAAACTCATCTACCATAAGTCTCAGTTTGTGTATCATGCAGCAGATATTTAGTACGCAATCGAGTTCCGTCATGTAATGTTCGGATCCTGATATTTCGATTTAATGTCACCTAAGTATAAAATTGTGAACTAGAAACCACAAGATTAGATCAAGAATTGAATCATATTAAAATACAAATTGGACGTTCTCGTCTTATAAGACCAATTAAGAAAAGATTTATCATATCAAACTCTAGTTATATATGTTTAATCCTAATCCGACCCATTTATTTTTTGTATCAATTAATCATTTCATTTATGGGTTGCTGTCATCTTAATCTAAAAAAGATTGCTAAGTTTTGTTGTACAGATTGCTCAAGATTTAATTGGTGTTAAACTTGCTCATAAATCTCATGATTGTTAATGTTGATCTCAGTTTAATTGGAGCCATCGTCATTGTCATCGGTCTGTACTCAGTGGTGTGGGGAAAAAGCAAAGATCAGCCAAGTTCCATGAACTCCATAACCAGTGAGAATGGCCAATCCAATGAATTGCCAGTAGTTAACACCACCAAATCCTGCGTTAAGGTTGGTGGTGATGGCATTGATGGACCAGTAAAGAGTTGTCTACCACAGGAGCCATGATAGAGAAGCACAATCTCTCTCTCTCTCTCTCTCGTTTCACCTCATGGAACTGTATGTAAATATGTAGCTTTTTGTGCATCAATACAAGTTGAAATCCATGTTTCTCAAGTCAACTGAATCACTGTAACTGTTTTTGTTAACTTTTGTTTTCCGAGACGTTTATTAACTTTGGGAGCAAGGTGATATGAATTCGAGTCCAAGAATCAACCTCAACAAAAGAGTAGTAAAGTTGCCAACCACTCATCTCTGTCGAACCCCCTGTTTGTCGAACCCCTCGATGAAGCCTTTTACCCTTAGTCAGTCTTTTTTATCGTCTTTAAAATTTGAAATATATCATACTGTGAGTCAAATAAATCAAAGAATCTGTTTATCCATGTTCTCCTTATGCACCTTCCCAATTTGTTTTATTTTTTTTTTACTTTTCAATTACTCTCTTTTTTCTCTCTTGCTTTATTTTGATTAACGAATCAGCCATTTACAATGTGCTATGTTTGTTTTGCGAAAGTATCATGTCACATCCTCCTACTTTCAAATTGTGACATGGAACTTGGAATGATAACAAACATTTATTCGCCTAAGTTCAAAATTCAAATCCGGAATTTAACTCACCAAAATGATAGTAAATTGCCAGCCAAATAAGTCTTCCAAACCCTACTTTAAGCAAGGACCTCGTGCACTAGGATCCTTATTGTTAAATTGATCAAAATCACTAACCTCACACTGTGTGAAATTCAACTGGGGTTCAAAAAATTGAAATATTCTTTACGCTGAAGAATATTTATCTATGCCATTCTCCACTAATTTGATTTTATTCTCTTTGTATCACCTTTCATTTGATTGAACTAATTGACATAGTGTAATGGGTACCTTATGTTTGTGTCACAAGCACTCTTTGCCTAATTGTCATCATCAGAATCTAATCTTCACATCTTTATAGCTTGATTGATTGAAAAAACTAGAACGAGTGGCAACAAATAAGAACAATAAGTAAGAATGCAACTCAGACAAGTTCGATAGATTGAGAAGGCAACCCAACCAAAACACAAGTTATAAAACCCTCAACCCGAACCCTATTCAACTAGAGATTTAATCCGAGCAGCGCTAGTGCTTGGATTGGAGGACTCGGGTGGAAGCCAGATTACAAAACTCAAGCTGAAATTCGGGTCCAACTCTCAGGTTGCCCAATTATGCTACCAATTCAGATCACAATTTGACAAATTTCAACCCCAATCCACGAATTTCAAGTAATACCTCAACAAATTCATGAAAGATAAGCATTTATACAGATAAGATCCCAAGTTCACATTATCAAAGAGCAACCTCACCAGATCAAAAAGCCTAAGGGCACAAAATTCAGATTTAGTTAAAATATCCTAAAAAACAAGAACCAAAAGCTAGCTCACCTCATTAAATCTCATATAATTAAACCCACATGCAGGTACTAACCATAGTCTTTGATGAACAACAGAAATTAACTTTCACAAGCAAAGATTGCTAGATTCTGCATGTGGGTTTGCTCATAAGTTTCAAATCAATGAATTAAATCAAGAACTAGTTTAAATTTGTGGGTTTTTGCTGACTGATCATTTCATGGCTTGAAGTGAGAGGAATTACCCCAAATGGATTAGGTTTTAGAGAATCAGATTTGCATGGAGAGAGAGAGAGAGAGAGCAACAACTCTACTTGAAAAGCTAGACTGAGATGAAAGATAAGAGAAGCTAAAGAATAGAGTTTGAATCTGAAGAAAGAGGGAAGAGACGCTCGAATAACTGGGATGAGAGGTGCAGCGATGAGTGAGAGACAAAGAGTCTGCAATCAGAAATCTGTTAGAGCCCTGACCCTACTTTCTCAGATGTATATATACACACACACATATACACATAAGCACACACACCCCTAATTTACTATGTTCGGTTTGGATTTCGTCCTAACAAATCAAGACCTCAATTCAAATACTTAAATTGAGTTTTATTTTTTTCCCCAAAACCAATCCGATAACTGAATTGTTATCTCACACCCAAATATTAGATATTTGGGGTTCAAGTTGACCTGTTCAAGTTACACCCCTAACCAATCAGATGTTTGTTCCAAGAAGCTATAAATTACCATGTAAGGAAGATTGACTTGTATATCTAAAAGTATCTCTAACCATACTCAACAAAATCGTTATTTAAAATATATTTAAATATTAAATTTTTTATTTTAGTTAATTATTTTTTAAAATTCACTCCAACCACGCTTCTATTTTAATTAACTATTTTAACTAACTTTCAATAATCTATACTACTTTAAAATGTCAATTAAAATTAAAAAATTTTTGATCGACTAAAACAACCTTAATAAAATAATCAACACCACTTATATCCCATCCTCACACATTCTGCACGTGTACATTACTCTGTTCACGGAGGTCAACAGCCTTCGCTCTTCAATGCACACGTTAATTATACATAATAGACATCACTCACTTTCTCTCACTCTTTTGTGTGGCTCCTAACTCTGGTGATGGCAAAACTCCGGCAACGCCTAAGACACTATTCTCTCTATGTCCCATGGTAGATCTCTCACGTAAATCTCTCTAATTTGTCTTTGCTTATGATCGGTTTATCTCCCTGTTCCTTTTCTCTCCTCTGTATTCGAATTTACTTCTTTATTGCATTTTCTTTCCTTACTACTATATAATTCTCTAAACGTTTTAGAATTTGTTTATGTTTTCTATTATAGAACTTTTTCGGGTTTCTCATATCTCAATGCAGGCTTGGAATTTGCTTGGGCAACTGCTTAAGTAATCATTTCTGTCTGTGAGATTGGAATGACTTGAACACATCTTTATTTTTAAGCTTAGTTGTTGTCTCTTGGATTGTGATAATTTGATGAATATTGCCTACTTCACTCAATATTATGGGTATTTTCTCATAAAATCAGATAAACATAATTCATGATTTGAATAAGAATGTGTTTTTTGTAGTTTAATAGAGCAGCCTTCAACAATTTTGCGATTACACCCAGTAAGTGTGGATTTTTTTTTGTTTTAGTGTTAAGATAATGAGTTGTTTTGCTACTTTATTTTTTTGCATAGTTGAAGTTGGACAAAACCCATATTTATTATGCTTAGAGATACTCAAATTAAGAGTAAAAGGAGATACTCAAATTAAGAGTAAAACCCCGTATATATAGGCAAAATATAAAAATCATAATAAAGGTAAAAAAGGGAAAAAAAATCCTAATAAACCTAGACTAGAAATCCTAATAAACCTAGACTATCTATACTCCAACACTCCCCCTCAAGCTAGGCGCAAAAATGTCAACTAAGTCAAGCTTGACAACGGAGTCCCGAAAAATAGACAGAGGTTTGGTAAAAACATCCGCAACTTGATCACTGGTCCCCACAAACGATGGAGTAACAAGACCATTGCTGACCTTCTCCCGAAGAAAGTGAACATCGATCTCTATATGCTTCGTTCTCTCATGTAGTACAGAGTCAGAAGCGAGCTGAATAGCAGATTGATTATCACAATATAATGTGGATGGAGAGGTCACTGAAAAACCCAACTCGTCAAGAATCGATCGTAGCCAGATAATCTCACATGTGCCAAGTGCCAATGCCTGATACTCTGCCTCTGCGGACGAGCGGGAGACAACTGTCTACTTCTTGCTCTTCCAAGAGATAAGATGAGTCCCTCGAAAAGCACAGAAACCCGTAGTAGATCGACCATCACATGCTCCCCCATAATCTGAATCTGAATAACAGGCTAGAGAACCGGTCTGAGATCCTGATGCATAAAACAACCCAAGTCCAGGACAAGACTTGAGGTACCGAAGAATATGATAAACTGCATCAAGATGAGGCTGACATGGCCTATGCATGAACTGACTAACTCGGCTGACTGCGAATGAAATGTCCGGCCTAGTATTGGCTAAGTAGATAAGTCTACCTACCAATCTTTGATAAACTGTCGGATCTTTCAACTCCTCACCTTCAGCAGTAAGCTTCAGGTTTGGAATCATAGGTGATAATGCCGGTTTGCACCCCAACATCCCATACACCTCATAAAGAGAAGGAAGTGTCAACATCGACAAGATCTGAGAACGAGGTCCCTCAAACTCATCACGAAGCCCCATAAGGAACTTGTGAATCCTATCCTCTTGCTCTCGAGTATGCAAGAATATTGCTCCCTCGGGCTCTATCTTCGGAATAGCAGCAAGAGGACGTAGAGACTCATACTTAAGCCAGCGCTGGGTCAAATAGTCATAATAATCCTGAACGGTCAAATCTCCCTGCCGAGCATATGAGAGCTCCTGAGAAAGCTCATAAACACGAACTCCCCGTCCTGACTGAGAATACATCTCTGATAAATGCGCTCCATAGCTTCGGAACAGAGCTATGAAACTGGTGGATCTTGCAAACAGAGGGCTCCATTGAGCCAAATAACCATCCAAGAATGGCACAGTTTTCAGAGAACCATGCAGAATATCCAGGGTCGGCATCAGCTGGCTTTGGGTGAGATCCCGTCAGCCAACCAAGCTTCCTTACACGGCCTAAGAAAAGCTGGAATGAGCGTGACCACTCAGCGAAGTTACGACCATTCAACAATTGTGCCGTAACTTTTTGAGAGATCATGCCCGGTAATGCTGGTAATGCAACTGTGCTAGTAGGCACTGTATACTGGTCAAACATAAAAGTGGAAGTACCCATAGATGTCTCAACGGTAGAGGTGTCAACAGTAGGGTTCTCAAGTCCCTCAGTAGTAGTCATATCAACAACAATACTAGGGCACCCGTGACAGAAAAATAACTCTAAGATAAATAGAGGAATAAAATAAGGGAGAACAATATACCTTCAGTCGAACAGTAGCGACAAATAGGGAAGGTCCAAAAAGCTCCCAAATAATCAAGTCACGGTGCCCAGAAATCTAAAATATATAAATAAGTGATCTATTGCATCAAGGGCAGATCAACAGAAAAGAGGATCCGCTCCCTCCCAAAAAAGTCCTAGAATA